TCCTCCCTGAATATTTATTTCCAATGTTAGTCGGTCACCTTGGAAGATGCGAGTTAACACTTATTTACTTCACTTTAATGTCGGAGAAGTTCGGCTTGTTCTGACACATGGCCCTCGTGCTCGCGTGAGTCTCTAAATTTATTTTTTCGCGTTCCAATGTCAAGACTATACCTTACCTATGCCTTAACTGCAGTTTGGCCAGCATTTGCATGCCATACTTAAAATAAATGCCTTAGAAGTTTCATCAAGCTTAAACAGACGGAAAATGTCATTATAAATGCCTACCCTAAGTTCCTTGTATGCGGTCAAGCTGACATTTTGATTACTGGCAACACTCTTTACTTTGCAAAACTGCTTATTTATTTTGTAGTAGTAAGCAAAAACATTTACTACTTTTGCGTGGTCTGTATTGCTCACCACCACAAAGGTGACGGACCCTATAATAGAGGGTTACTAAATTAAGTACCATATTGAGAAGACTGTATAAATTGAGGCTTTCCGTTGAATTAGGCGAGCAACAAGGAGAAAAGCAGGTCTCGAACAGGGGACTCTTTCAGGCCCCATGAGGCCACCAGTTGCGAGGCCAGGGGACGGAAGAGATATGCAGCGGAGTGTGTGGTGGGAGAGCAGCAGCCAGAAATTATCGATCTCTGTGGGCGCGAACTCCGACACAATGAAACTATGGAGGACCTGTGTGTGGAGTCTTTTCAAGATTACCTGTCAGACGAAAATTGTATTGAACGCAACAATCTGCACAACGATTACGAGGTAATTTGGCCGGAAAGGTTGCAACGACTTTGTTTTTGTGCTTTCACCTCTCTCTCTCTCCCTCTCCCTCTCCCTCTCCCTCTTCACTTTATTACATAATGCTGTTGTTTTTTGATAATGTGAGGCCCCCTGGCTCAGAAGGCCTAGTTATCCAACGTCCTTCCCCGGATTTGTTCCGCATAGCTTCTGTTACAGATGTCCCTTCCTGAAAAAAAAAGTGCCTATACATGAGGGTTAAGGAGGAGAGCTCTTTATTCGGGGCAAATTTCGAATGTAGCTTATGATAATATTGTCAGAATGACGCCCAGTGTTTCAGTTCAGTCAGTTTTGGAAGAAGAAGAAGAAGAAGAAGAAGAAGAAGAAGAAG